GGTAATGGCGGTCAGAGCCATACGCGGTTACCGCACCGTTTCGACGGAGGTGGCATGCGCATTGGCCGGAACTCCCCCGTGGGATTTGGAGGCGGAAGTGCTCGACGAAGTTTATCGGCGAGTGGCTGACTACCGGGCGGAGAGCGGATTTCGCCCTCCGCCCGAGGATGTGCGCGAGTGGCGCGAAGCCGCTCGCCGAGCCACGATGGCTCGTTGGTCGTTCCGGCTGGAGACTCCACGCGCTGGCTTCGCCGCCGTGGAGGCTCTCCAGCCGGTCATCGCCGAGTGGGCAGGGCGGCAGCACGGGACCCTTTCCTTCCGACTGACGCAGGTGCTTTCCGGGCACGGTTGCTTCGGAAAGTACCTGCACACGGTCGCTAGGAGGGAACTGAGTCCCGCCTGCCACCACTGCGACTGCAGTGAGGACTCGGCCCAGCACACGCTGGCGGTCTGCCCCGCATGGGCGGCGCAGCGCCGGGCCCTCACTGCAGTCATCGGAGTGGATCTCTCGCTACCGGCCGTAGTACGCTCCATGGCCGGTAGCGACAGTTGTTTTACCGCGGTCGCAACCTTCTGCGAGGTAGTAATCTCGCGGAAGGAGGCGGCGGAGAGGGCCCGGGAGGACGACCTCCACTCGGACCCGATCCGCCCGCCTACCACAGCCTCATGCCGCCCTGAGTGTGGCCGCGGGTGGACGGGGTGGGTTTCCCCCCCACCCGCATTAGTTTGGCCAGCCGCGAGGGGGCGGCGTCCGCGTGTGCCGGACGTCGCCTAAAGAGAGGAACATCAACACTGAGACGGAGCCCGCACCAGGAGCAGGCTGGCGCTAGGAGGGGTCCGGATGTCTTAACAACAGCTGTTCCCGGATCCCTCCTGTTACAGGCGCAGAGTGGCACACCGTGTGGTTTTAGTCGGTCCGAGTCCGACACACCACCCCGCCGCAAACCCCGGAGGGGTGACGGTCCGAGGGGATTTCCACACGTTAAAAAAAAAAAAAAAAAAAAAAATGGTTTTATATGTAGATAGAAGAAAGAATGAAAAAGAAAATTTGCAGGTACACTGTAAGTGAGTAATAGTTAAATTACACACATACAAGCTCATCCAAGGCCTTATTATCGTGAAACTAGAACAAAATCTGAAAAAATGTTTCATCATCATCATCAACAGCCTTTAACAGTCAACTGCTATACATAGGCCTCTCCTTAGAAAGGAGGTTTTGGCCTACTATACCACGCTGGCCAGACGGGTTGGTGTAGGGTTTGTGTCAAGTTTTTCTTCTCTCTGCAGTGCTGGTGTCCTGCGTATTTCGCTCCCTTAGTCGCCTCCTCCGTGTGGTGACGGATTAAGAATACAGAGTGTCACCACCCCTATTCCTCCTGTGGGTGTCGTAAGAGGCGACTAAAAAATATTTGCCGAATAGCAATTCATGACAAATTATATGAACTGAAAAGATGAAACCAAAAAGTATGAAATCTGTAATATTAATAGAATAATTGATAATTCAGCGGGTTTTTATTGAATTAACAATGTACAATTAATAACTTTTACTTATAGTAAGTAAATAAAAGAAAATAGATTGTTTTGATTAACTTATAAAAAACAATGAGTCCGATGTCAGAGAACAGCAGCCACAGCATGGAAGTTATTCACTCCGTATCCAAATGCAATATCGAAAAGTTTTGTTAGCTTGGCAAGCTGACTATGCTTGTATCTTTTCGAGATATGAAGTATCGTCCTGTCGTATGCAATGAAGTTTTTATAGTAGGTACAAGATATAATTATACTGCAAACTTATACAGATAAGTTTTATGCGATTGATGTGTGCGACAGAATTGTTTTGAATTTGAAACACGCGGAGTATTACCGAAGGCCCCAGAGAGTTATTAAATCAATGATTTGAAATAGTCACAATTTATCAACAAAATTTTGGTTTCACTTACATTATAATGGCGTAAGCCTATCGCCGTCTCCTGCACTTTGTGCATTAGACCTGTAGGGTTTTAGGTTTGTGTTTAAAATACTCAGTTTGTGTAAGGTTGGCTTGTAATTTTATGTTTAGAATCTGTCACTATCTCAATTATTGTTCTGCTTTTTCATTTTGATTAGTTGTATACACTTTACAATTATCAAATAAGTAGATAAAGATTTTTTTTATGGGTTACGGTCGAATTTCAATAGTTGTTGAACATAGATAAGTAATATTAACAGTTTCTAATTACTTTCTTAGGAAGCATAAACAATGAAAACCGAACAATGTAATGGATATGTTAATTTACCGCCAATACCGTGTTTTGTATTGTGTTGCATATTTTCTAAAAACTCCTAAAAAGTCTGACGAACCATTTATACGATACGAGTGTTATTTGCATTCGACCCAAAAATTCGGAATCGTTCTATTTAATGGATTGCCTTCATCAATAGCTTGATGCCAGTGGCTATTTAGACAATGCCAGTAATGGCGGCGCTTAATGGTATGGCTCGTCAAAATGCTTTTTGTACTGGTAAATGTTAGACATTCTATCTTAACGGGCAATTTTACCATCTAACATTATGCCACATTTTATCACAAGACGTTACAGTTCATAATAATACCTTCTTTAACTGCTGCTGAAGATCTTAAAGTCAATAACCGACATGAATAATGATTTTATAACGGTTTTTTTTCTTCTAAGGATGTTAGATGGCAGAAAGAAGCAGCGGAACAGATCAGAAGGGAATACCTTGTCACGGTTCCACATCGGATAGTATATTTTAGTGTCTCCTATTTGATTTCGTCCTAAAGTACTAGCAGGCTAAACGAAGGGTGTTGGGTCCTATATTCCTTGTTTTATGTCCATTGGTAATATAGCAGAGATATCAGGCTGCCTTGCCTAGCTTGTGAGAAGTGGCTGACCAGGTGCCAGCCCGAAGACTTGCAGCTAGCAGGCATATTGCACGTCCATATCCGGTCGTAGGTATCGACCGTACATCAAGAATTCAGGCAGATTGAAAATCTTAAAAATGTATGTATGTTTTATAATATACATATAGTTCTGTTTAAAATCCTTGTCATATAATTTATGCAAGATGGAACCAATGATGCGAAGCTGACATGGGTCTACCTCGTGTATCTTCTAAATCTATTTTATGGTAGCACAGCGCACTACATTTCACAGTACGATAGACTGTGAGAACGCCCCTTTAGAAAAGCACCGTTCTGTATAAATCGGTAAATAACATACAGGTAACAGGAATTCATACACCAGCGAGCATTTTCACGTGACTAACCGTTACACTTCTAATTTATAGCGACCGTGGAAAATTCAGTGGCTGTTTGACGAAAAGGCCACGAGTGGGCTGAATGGAGCCTGTACAAAGGAATTTACGAGTTAACTCGTACAATAATGTTAGGTATTTTTGCTTTGTATAGGTATTTTTAGCGCTTCTATTTTGCTTACGTGACATATGATATTTTCCAGTTTTTACGAGGTTCATTAGGCACTATTTATTTATTATATATATGTAGATAACTTTTAATGGATTCATATATGTAAACATAACATACATTCATGAATATATTTTAAACTCCTTTTCTGCCCAAATTAAGTTTAAAATATATATTGATATTAAACTTCATGTTAGCTATTCATTCCCTACTGTTCACTCGCTCACAGTGACGTCCCCGCTTTTAAATATCGATAAATGCAATGATATTTTAAGGAAGATACGTTTTATTCTTACTGAACGCATTAAATATTTGTTCCGTAACCGTACATACATCTATTAATGCATTTTAAAACAAAACATAAACTTACCTATGGTATAGTATTCCATTTTCTTTTTTTTACCTTTTTGTCTTACTTTCGGAATAAACAGGAAGGCATTTTAGGAATTTTCTCGAATTAATTAGTACCCTCCTTTCTAAGGAGAGGCCTATGTTCAGCACTGGACTATTAAAGGCTGTTGATGTGATGTGATGATGTGAATTAGTACCCTCACGTTTTGTGCGTTGGTGACGTATCTACCTCTTGTTTGTAATTAATATCATTGGATAAATGAATATGTAAACTCTATCCAATACAAAATAAATCATCAAATCTGATATAACAGTAACAAATTAACGTATTTCAAATTATCAAACAAAAAATAATTGAGTATAGAATAACATTGATTTTATTGTACTCAACGATTGGATATCTTGAAAAATTTTGTCACACAGAAATAGGTCAATGAAATATTAAGCCTCTTATTCCATTTCAAATAATTTACGTCAGAATTTTATGAAACATCGACGATTCGATCATTTCTAAAGCATTACAGTTTTATGTTGATTCTATTGAAACGCGCAAAATATTTCTTAAATTGAGATACTAGCAGGAAAAATGCTATTGCAATGAGGTTTTACGGCCAAGCCTACACGTATAAAAGAATAGAATAGGAACGTACCCATGTTTTGCTAAAATTGCAATTGAGCAATAATTTTGGTTTATTCACTGTTTTTAAAGAAGTTGCTTTACAGACTTGTGTTTTATTCTTACTTCTTATTCCTGTAGCGAATCATCAAAGAGGTCAGCTGCAGGCGTTTACTTGTGAATATAAATGTAGTCTTATCAAAATTTAAACAGTCAGGTTGCAGGCAATAAGTAATTATTCCTTTGTTACGACACCCCCGGGAATAATATGGCTGTCTTGTTAGCTAATGGGGCCCTTTAAATGTGAACATTAACAACGCTATAAATATATATATATATATAGAAGGATATTATAATTTAAATGTAAATAGGTTACTAAAGAATTACTATCGCACTATTGTCTCAATATGATCACCGATTACAGCATTAAAGGACACTTGTAAAAAGTTCATTGTTTTGTTTGTAGGTTATTTACCATGCCAAGGACCTATATAGTCCATTCGCTTTAAGAAAATAGTGACGTACTAGAAAACCTACCTCCTTAGGGATTTATGAGTGTATGTACCTATATAATTATAAATCTTAATAAACTTTTTCTCTTGTTCCCAGTAATCGATTGTGTGGTCTCCGGCTGGGGTCCGTGGTCTGGTTGCGATACCAACTGTGGATCTGGCAGTATGGAGCGTAGTCGAAGAGTAGTGCAAGCGCCAGCACACGGTGGAAGACATTGCCCTTCGCTGGTTCAGCGCAGAGCTTGTCAGGAGCATCGAGGCTGCTCTGAAGACAGTGATGTTCCATTAAGAGGTGACCGTACCTAAAGAAGATATTTAAATAAAAAAAATTGTTACCAGAATATCCCTAAACAAATTAATTTCTTAATCTTGTGTAGGATTGTCTTAATATTGTAAACACTTTTTATTTTTAAATCTGACACTAAATTTCTAGAAATCTGTGGTTTCCATACATGCGGATGACTTGCAAATTTACGCCCAATCGAGAGTTGAAGACATATCACACGCCACTGATAAAGTCAACAAAGATTTGGACTTCATAAGGAGCTGGTCGATGAGGTTTGGTTTGTCGGTTAACCCAAGCAAATGTCAAGTGATCGTCATAGGTAGCAAACAGATGTTAAATAGGTTGGACATGACGGCCATACCACCAGTTGTTTTTAACGACATAATCATACCTCTGAGCCCAGTGGTTAAGAACCTAGGGCTACATATTGATTCGACACTTGACTGGAGAGCACAAGTCACCCACGTCAGCCAGCAAGTCACTACATGTCTTCGCGCCTTATATCGTCTTAAGAATTTTCTGCCCACTAAAACCAAGGCTACGCTTATGCAGTCCCTTATTACTCCCTTAATCGATTATGGTGATGTGTGTTGTCTTGACCTGAATGCAGACCTCCTCAATAAACTAGACCGACTTCTTAATAACTGCATTCGATTTGTTTTTAATCTTCGCAAGTATAACCATGTGTCTGCTTTACGTTCCCAACTGAAATGGCTCCCGATTCGTCAACGCCGCAGTCTGCGCGCACTAACATATCTTTTTTCTTTTCTTAATTCCCCATCGGTACCTGAGTACCTGGTTCCCCATCTCCGCCTCCTCTGCTCCAATCACGACCGAAATCTTCGATCAACAAATAATATGCTTCTTCTTTGCCCCCCTCACACTTCCAACTTCGTCAATTCTTCCTTCTATGTACAGTCAGTTCTTCTCTGGAATGCGCTCCCAGTTGAAATTAGGATGTCCACTAACCGGTTTACGTTCAAGAAGAAAGTACAAGAACTTCTACAAAATAAGTTGGCAGAAAGGTCACATCGCTAGTACCCGACTATGTGGTTTGATATTTATGTATTTATAAATGTGTATAGTCATCTATTGTATGTGTATACTTGAGACCTCTATGTATATATGTAGTTATGAATATAGTATTTTATTTATAGTATTTATAGTAGTAGTGTATATATGTAAGTTAGATTTATCCTACATTAATAAGTTTAATATAAACAAGTAAAATTCTCTGTTTTCTCTTGCACCTATAGCTTCATTTTTCTACATCACCCGAAGGTCGACTGGCAGAGAATGCCTTGGGCATTAAGTTCGCCTTTGTACAACTAGTGCATTAAGTTAAATAAATAAATAAAAATAAATAAATAACCCGGTATTTAGCAAATAGATATAGTATGTTGTATTTCAGCTTCTTACTTTTGTATTGACTAATAAAATTCAGATAGAAGCTAAATGACTGTTTGAAATTTAAATGTCGTATTTGGAGTGAAAGGCGCCTAGAGCTGAAAATACGCCAAGAGTACTTTTGACAGAAATATTCGATATTTTTTAGGTAATCAAGTAATTTTTACAGTTATATATTTAAAAAAGCTGAGTTTAATAAATTTTATTTCAACAGATGAGACTGCGATGATTCTGCCCGGTGGATTGTCTGTTAGCCGACATTCAAATGATACTGTGGATATCCGCAAGAATTTAAGGCTTCGTAACCCTGATGATCCTGAATCTAATTCACATAGAGAGTAAGTTTTATTTCATTTATAAGTGACGTTAGATTACGAGGATTATGAGGATTTTCTACTAAACAAGATGTAATTGTGAAACTTTAAAGGGATGTTTGTTAGTAAATTAAGCCAGGACGGCGGAACGCATGCAAATAAAGGCACATCATATATTGATTTATTGTATATTATCGCACATAGGTAGCACTTTGTATCCTGAAAAAAAAACACAAAATGGTAGATACCGCGATATTGTTTACATAAAGAATTATTTTAGTTGTACTACTACTACTACGATTATTCTTGTATCAGTCACATTTGTGTTTTTAGCTGTAGCTGTAGCAGTTTCACCCGTTGGGTGATGTAGGGAATTCTTAAATTTACTAATCTGCACGAGAATTTTCATTTCGCTGTGCAGATTAGTAGTTACTCAGTATTTCATCGTGTCTTCGTTTTATGGTATTGAAAAATGTTTGCGTTGTAATTGGAAAAATCGATGTTCAATACTGAAGTATTCACGGGAAACGCCAACAGCGGTTTTGTCTCGACATTGATGAATCAGTTTCTATATATAAAAGATTAAATGGGTTTTTGTTTGGGAAATAATATAAAAAACGATATTGTTTCTGATACGCGAATATGTATGCGTTATATGCTATTTACTAAAAACATAGTTTTTTTTAATGTTTCAACTCATTCTAAGGACACTTACTATATCCAACGCTCTCTTGGACTCAAATTCAGACTGTAACTTGTTTGCGGATGGATGGCAGACGATTATGTGTAACGATGTCAGTATGTTTGGTGAGCTGTGGGAAGTCTGTGTGCCAGAGGTGCAGTCCTATGTTGTAGATAAAGTTATTGTATAGTATAATTTATTTTGTAATAACGTTTCTCTCTTAATTAGTGTAAGTAGCCAGCGGCCGTTCTGAACAATATTAAATAATAAATAATAGTAAAACCACCTCCTTACTAAGGAGAGGTAGTGTCCTGCAGTGGATGGTAAAGGCTTTTGATGATGATGAAATAATCATGTTAGACTTGTTAGTCTAGCTTCATAATTAAATTACATTATAATAAAAGGTAAAAAATATCCAGACACATAAGACTGCAATTAAACAGTAGTATAATAATTATTGTATTCATGTTTAGTGAAATGTAAAGTGGAGAAGGTTGATGAGTCGAGACCGAGGGTAGCAGTAAAAATATTATCATTATAAATAGAATATTCTGATAGAAATTTTCTACACATTCTGAGCAGGATATTACTGTTCTTGTCTTATAAAAAGTTAATTTCCTTTACCAAATGATTTGAAATCAAATCCCGATAGATGTGTTTTCTTCATAAAATAATGCCCAGAAAGAGGTTTTATTTTCTCCGTCGCTTATTCCCACATTGTATTGTCCAGGTATTGCGCGCAATTCGAGGTCACCAAAGTCTCAAAGGCCTGCCATGCGGATTCCGACTATAAAGCATTAAGAGAAGGTATGTATTTATTTTTATAAATCAAACAAAAGAAAATTGAAACTGGAAAAGCAATTTTGAAGTATCAAAGATGTAAAAATTGTTTAAGGTTGCATTGTTTTGATGCTCCTTGGCAAGATTAGTTTAAAGTTGCTTTAGTCTAATAGGAATTTTTTTTTTAAATAAAGCTTGTTTTTGGTATTGAGTTATTGAACTTGTCAGCGCATTATTTATTTTTGTCCTTTGCATACCGGAATTCATATTTTCAACAGAGAACATTTGACACAGTGATTATTTTACTGATTTCAACGCGTCTGCAATGGAATGCAAAAAATAAAATTTTCCTTATAAAGTATATTCTTCATTTCTTTATTTTTTTTACTCTATGGAAAGGCATTTTCTTATAAAATTTGAATTGGAAACCCCTAAATAAAAAATGCAGCTGAATTTAGAATGCCTCCTTTTTTGAAATCATCACATCTATGGGTTGTCACTAGTTACGATTTTCATGAGGCTCCACAGTCGAATTATAGCTTTTCATTAATGAGGGCGAGTTCCACTTCGTGTTTTGAAAAACAGTAGTACTGCGTTCTAAGGAGATTCAATTCACCATCGTCTAGTTAGCAAAATTAAAGTACAGCTGAAAATAGACAACTCAAAGTCGAGCAGAAAACTTACTGAAATCAAAGGGGAATCAAACTGTTAAAAGGACCAACTAATTACTGTAACTCGCATAAAATGCCATAAATACTCTATGTTTGTATTGTGGTCATAGTTATAGTACATTAAATCTATGACAGTGGTTTGCCTCCTTCATTTCTATAAGTAAATCTGTCTTAACACCCTGCTGGGTAAAGCTTCTTCTTAACAACCATAATAGGACGCGTCCAATTTCCGTTATATAACCTATTGATGGATCTAATATTAAACTTTATTATGTTCAGGAAAAATAGCTTCTGTAAACAGGTGTGTCCGTATCCAATAGCCGCGAACCTTTTTTATTCTGTGACCGCCGCGCCTCTTGCGATCGGCTCAAATTTCACACACCTACTTCCTTTTATTATCAATTAGTTATTACCGGTATTGTGCTTACGACATAATAAAAACAATCTAATTTATTAGATAAATAATAAAGTAGATGTTACTTTTGAAATAAATAAGCCATTCTGCACCTTTTTTTTTTTTTCCGTGCGCAAATCCCCTCGGATACCACCTATCGGTGGCATGTCGGACTCGAACCGACTACTAATAGCCGGAGAACCAGGTATACCCTAGAAAGGATGGCCCTGATGCCCCGACATACCTCGGGCCATCTACAGACGGGTAGACGACCCCACCCTCCGTGTGGGAACCCCATGTTCTCTCTGCTCCCCGGAAGCGAGCGCGCTTCGCAACGCGCTCGCCGCCACCCCGGCCTGCTTCTGCTAGGGAGACAGATGGCCTCACCTGTCACCCCCAGGCCTGCGCTTATGGAGGACGGAGGTCATTCTGCGACCTCCGGCGCCTGAGTCGCCTGCGGTACCTGGCCCGTTCCCAGGCCTGGCGGGCCGGGAGAGTTCAGTTCACACACACACACACACACACACACACTGCGTGCGTGTGTGTATGTCTTTGCCTATGTCTTTCCTTTTATTTACTTACCTTTTTAGGCATCTTTGTTCTTATACCTACTATTCTCCGAATTTTTTATTTTTATTATTCTTTTTTTTCAACAAATAGTGGTTAGCTCTACAATTGCCCTGTATTATGTTACTAGGAATAAATAATATGTATGTAGTTGGCAAAATGTCAGTGTTGAATGTGCCTCAGCTAACCTTTTCGGCGAAACAGGCGTGACTATATGTAATGTACATGACCTTTATTACAAATCCTGGAATTTATAACACGTAGCCAATGAAGTGTATGCCTGAGGCTTTACTTCATTACCTGTTTTGAACAATCTGCTGTTAACAGAAAGCCTGAATTATTCAACAGATTAAACTACATATTTTGTAGGGATTATTATTAATTATACTTCTAGCAAAAATTTCAAGCAGTATCTATCTACGTTTTTGAACACAATATCTGGTAGTAAACGGCCGGTGTAGCTGTAGTGCCCAGTCGCTTTAAAGCTTTAATCAAATAACACTGTTATTTGTCAACATTTTTAGCGCTACCAGTAAGTTTGTTTCTAAAGCTCGTATTTTTCAACATTTAGAGAAGAGAAAGACATAAAAAAAATCCTGTAAGCCATTAGCTATAATTTTATTACTTTTTAGTTTCATTTATTCTCGAATAAATATTTTGAAAAAAAAATGAAAATGGATTGGAAATGAAATGAAAAAAAATTGCACCTTTTCTACTGCATAAAAAATAACAAGATTTTTCTTAATCTAGGACTTTAAGCCGCATTACACACTAATCATCAATTTCATCACCAACCTACATTTTAGTGTTACTTTTTTAACTTGTGTCTTCGTTTTTTGACATCAGGAAACACGGTGTGTGTTCTCTGCGAGACTGCGGCTCTCCGGCGCGACTTAAAGTGGCGGTGCAGTGGCCATGGAGTTGCCGGCCATGCTACACGTTTCTACGCCTTGGTTGCCCCGCACTGTCACGGCAAATGGGTAAAAGCACCACAGAATCCGGACAAGAGAAGCAACTGCTGCACCAACCCTGACTTTATTTTCGTTTAAACTTACTTAAAAACAGTTTAAAGGCTTGTAAATGACTGGGGACTTGTTGAAAGTTTGAAGTTAAATAATGACGTTTCTGTTAGTTCTATAATGGTATCTTATACTAAAACGGTTAAGATAAAGCATTCAATAAATTCACAGCTCTTTTAGGTCCATGAAATGGAGATTTTTAACCAAATTTCTTCTGTGTAATTCATTCCTTATGGTGGATTCTTGATATGGAAACTCTGCTTTCCTCATCAAACGCAAACTCCATCGTTTCTCTGATAGCTGTACTGCTCTTTAAATTATTTAAACATATAATTAACAACGGATTTTGTCAAGCTAGTTAGTAGAACTGCCATTTTCAAAATGTTTCAAAAGTGATTGATAAATCTTACATATAGAAACCAAAGTTTGTGTGTTATGCGTCTTAATGCGTACCGTTCTTCTGGCCATCATGCAATTTTATATTTACGTTGTCCGGAATACAGTAAACGACATAGGATATCCTTCAACCAGAAAAAGAAGTATTTCACAGGGATGGATCATTTAAGCAAGCGAAGCCGTGAACTAAATTTCATTGCATATTTACTGTCACCGAGTCCATAAAAACTAGATTTTACATAGGCAGGTACTGCGATGCGTGAAAATACCAAACACGGCACTTTCCAATATCAGTTTAACGCACATTTAAGACTTTTTATAATAGGTATCTGTTACACCGAAATCCTTAAAAATATTATTACCACTTACCTACCTGATAATACAAAAGTTCAATACTTTTGCAAAGTTATTATAAAAAGACGTAATTCAAGCAGTTCTATAGCACATGTAAAATTTATTACACTTCTTTCGTAACAAAGTAAGAATGTCGCGAAATTGAATAACTTTGGGTTCATTAGATTTAACAGTAGATCGTTAGGTTTTATCTTTATTCTCTTTTGTTCATGAAATCTTGATTGTACATTTTTGTATTTAACAATAACGTACTTAAATGATTTTTGTATTATTATATTTGCACACATATTGTATTTTTATTTGTGAAGTAATGTTAATCGGTGTATGATCATTTTGCAAATATCTTAAATTTATAAATTTTTTATTGAGTGACCTTGTAAATACATTTTAATCGGTGTCTCTGAGAAAGATGCACTTTCCTCACACGTCATGGTTTTATCCTGAATGTTGACATTAGAAGTGTATGGTGTGGGTTTGATTGACCAAAATCATTTTTTTTTGTTAGGTATTGCTGTAAAAGTGAATATTGTTTGATGAACTGATAGTAAAAAGTAAAAGTATATTGCTGACTTGCAGTAACTTAAGCACCCTGTACAATCCCAAAAAGAATTCTTATTTATTTTCTATGTCTTAGTACTCGTATTGAATATCGGTATTGTCAACATTCATAAAAAATATTACTAATAAACAACAGACGGCAGTAGAAATCTAGAATTTGAACAAGCAACTTGTAGAAACACTTTCTACTCACAATGCGTTTTAGAAGCTCAATATTTTTCGTATATATCTTAAATTTAAAGTTAGATATAAGTTTTATAATACTTAAAAATAATTAAATAGTATGTGGAGACATATCTTAAACGATTTATGTAAATAATAATGTCAAATAAACTCATTACGAAAATCAAGCATCGTTATTATTGTTGTTATTCTAAAACCTTTTTATTTTCAAAATGCATTTGAACTATGGTCTCCAACTGGTAAGTTATAATATGATAAATGAACGTTCAACTCTACCATGCTGAGTTTAGGACAGACATGGCACTTTTAGCAAGAAGACCTGGGGCTTCACACGCTGAGACCATGTGTCGTCCAGATAACATTGAATCCTAGCCTGGAAATGAATAATATAAGTTTTAATGCTACATTATACATGTCTTTTTATTATGTCACAACTTTGAAGAGTTCGTCAACCGCTTATCAATGTCTAAGCACTGGTAGAACAATAAAATTATGATAAAGAAAGCTCTTGGAAATCTTAAGTTATTGCACATCTTAAATACCTATTTGAGGTATAATACACCTCAAATAGGTATTTAAGATGTCATCAGTTGAAGTACAGAAATACAAAAATGAAAGTTTATCACGTGCATGGTCTAAAATATTGACATACAGACATATGTAGTATGGTTTAATATTTCCGCCACCATAGAACCGCAGGTGCATACATGGGGCTCACACACACTGCAGCCCAGGCGGAAGGCCACCGCTACGCGCAAAGAATCGTCGTCGAAGAAAGTGCCAAGGTGAGGTGATGGGAGCGCGTGCAGGAACGCGTTTTTATCAATCACAGAAGTGTACCACTCGAATAGAACATTAATAAATGCAAACACGTTAATAAATGTTAACAGCTGAATATAGAACTTTCTTTTTTTTAAGTCGCTGAAAAACGTTTGGACATGATAATTTGGTAACATTTTGACACCACCTAGAGAAAGTCGTCGATAAATCTATTTTGCTTAAAGTTCTATTTATATCAGTTAATAAAAAATATCTTTATAATGTTGAATTGAATCAAGACTACACTGGAAAATGCGTTCTTTATTTAAGTTTTTTATAAGCCTTTTACTGATTTTTACTTTATACATATTTATTTATTTATTAAACTACCCAGGAATTAGCGGAATTAGCGTTTCGTTACCCTACCTGCAATATTGACTCATTTGCATCAAATCAATTAGATAAAAAAATATGAAAAGTGGGTGCCACGTGATTTGACTGATCTGCAGAAAGAAATGGTTGTTGAAACTTGTGTTGCCTTGTTGAATCGGTACAGAAATGAAGGAATATTGGATCGAATTGTGACATGTGACGAAAAGTGGATTGTTTACGATAACCGTAAGCGAAAATGCAATGGCTGACCCCAGGTCAAACACCGCAACAGTGCCTTAAAGCAAAACTTACCAATAAAACTCGTAAAAAGTTATTCACAATAGCTCTCTCAGGTCGGGTTAGGCAATAACAGCTGATGTTTACTGTGCTAAACTTCGAACAATGATGGCGAAACTGGCAGTGAAACAGCTACGACTCTTGAATTGATCTTCACCATTATTGCTCCATGATAACGCAAGACCTTACACTGCACGAGAAATCGTTGTAACCCTACAGGAGCTACAGTTAAAAACCATACGTCATCCTCCGTACTCGCCAGACCTTGCTCCAACGGACTACCATCTTTTTCGTGATTTGGTCAATTTTCTACGTGATATAAAAAAAATGTTCCCAGGAGGCAGTACAAAATGCTTTCACACAGTTTGTCGAATCTAGATCTCAAGAGTTCTAGCGTGAAGGCATAAATAAACTTCCGTTTGGTACTGGGTTTCAGTACAAATCGGCAATTTCACTTTACTTTACTGCTTTACTATGATCACATAATTTGCAAGTATAAGAATTCTCTCAATGTTTTCCTACTTTGCCACCCACCCCTTATTAATTATGTATGTATGTACAGTCACGTCCTCAAGTCTAATAGGTTGCATCGAGTCGCATAAGTATACTTAGACGTGAAATAAAATATGATTATGACCCGATGGTCATAATCATATTTTATCTTTATTCCCTACTGTGAAATTTCTCGAAGGTCGATACCTTCGAGAAATTTCACAGTAGGGAATAAAGATTGTGTGAGGTTAAAACTTCTTTGTAATAAAGACGAAAAGATACTTCTTTTGACTTAAAAATGATTGTGATGATGATAAATTACTAATTTATCATCATCACAATCATTTCAGATCTACTTTTGAACAAAAGCTTAAAGTGGTAAGTTAACAATTCATACAGAACAAGTGATAAAAAGAAGTAATAAATAGTGAACTACTAATAGTTGATATTACTTAAACTATCATTATAATGTTATAATATTTGGTATGTTTTTAAGGAGTAGTATTTTAAATGGTTGATTTTAACAATTCTATGCTTCTTGTATATAGCTGTGACACTTACAGGCAGAAAAAATAGCTAATTTCTGAAGCGCTGCGCTGTCCAACCTCAATTTTCTAAGAGATTAAAGTTGTTAATCCCTTGAGGATTTTAATGCCTTCCTCAACCCCTGTATTACACACACATCTATAAAAAAATACACATTAAATACTTATTATCATTTTACCTTGCGAAGCAATTCTTTGTAACTATTAAGTTGCAAAGAATTTGTTCGCTGGTCTTATTATAATGGCGGTAGATAGCCTAGATCTATCGTATTGATATATAAACTGACTATTTTTCATGTACATACGTAAGTCAATCTAATTAAAATCAAAGTCATTTGATTTGGAATTCACTAACTTCTATCATAAATTATGAAAAGATTGGGAGTAGTCAAATCTAGATATGGAGGACATTCTTTTGTTACAAAACTTGAGAGAAATGGCGAAGGGTTTCCATTAATATTATTTAATTTTGTATTTATATTACATAATACATAGATGAGTAATTACCGCCTAAAATCGTTGCTACTGCACATATGTCCACAGGCATATGCGTAGCAAACGTCAATTCATTATTCAATGTGGCGTCAACCGAGTTGAACATAGCGACACATGACAGTAACAATCGCCAAAATGGCTAAATGCGTAGTGAAAGAATGCGATTCAAGGTCACAAAACATTAATAAATCATGCGGAATTACTTTTCACGTGTAAGTTTATGGTTTTTGTATTGATAATATCGTAAATAAGGCTATAATTGAAATAAAACACTGATAATTGTAATTTAGAATCAGTGTTACCATTAAAAAATCATTTTGGTTTTCCCACATTAGTGGGAGAATTTATAATTTATGAAATAATATGCTTTATACTGTTTTTAAACATTTTGCCAATAATAATAAAATATAGGAAGAACGGTAGTTGTTAGGGCTGGACCGATCCCTTTTTTTAGGGACCCGTTGAACGTTCACTGCGAGCTTGGCACTTCTGCTGGAGACTTTTGTACAAAAAAATTAATTCATTGTTTTTCTTAATTTATTATCAATTTTAAATAATAATTGTACAAAATAATAATAA